ACACTTGCAAAACATAACCCTCCCACAATCGGGTATAAAAACCTGAAACTACACTACAATTATGTGTATATATAATTTTTTTCCCTTGTGATTTTTGTGTTAAGCTATTTAATAGAAAAAGTACGTGTTTTCAATTGTTTTTTGAGTTTTTTGTAATTTTTTTATCTTGCCTAAGTGGGCCAAAAAGTTAGGGAATCCATGATTTACTCCATAGTAACTTGACGTCCCGTATTTTATTTTGTCATTTGATTTAAAAATCCCTTGAACTTCATGTTTCATTTAGTAGCAGTAGAGCTCCTTGTGTTCACTTGTGAAGTACTCTGGCACTGTACCTGTTTCTGCTGCCAAGCAGTAATGTGCGCATTACTGCGTTCCGGTTTTGAAGGGCAGGGGTGCTGGTAAATTTACAGGTACATGGAACTTGTCAACTTATGTATCAGTGTGACGGGCGCAGTGGTAGTACCCGTCAGGTCTTTGCAATTTAAAGTTAGGTTCTCGGGTTTCTTTCAGAGAAAAGTTTAAGGAGACCGGTGTCATGACTGTGGCATCACAGTACATTTAATCAAATATTTTTCAAATATGCTCGTAAAAATAGACATAATTTCATTAAGAAAGAAGATATCCATAGTATTAACCTAAGAACTAAGTCCAAACTCATGGTGCCACGATTTCGTTTAACTAAGGTAAATGATTCTTTTATAAACTGTACACGTTTTTACAATATGATTCTGGAGCACATATTAAAATTATCATTTCCTAAGTTTAAAACTTATATTAAAAGTATTTTAATGGAAAAGTCATATTACTAAATTGAAGAGTATGTGTTAGATAAAGGTGTATGGAAAGACAACATGAGTCTAGATTCCACACAAGTATGATTCACAGTGTATTCCAAAGTATCTAAGTTTATTTGAAAAGAGCAATCCCAAGAGTTTCTAGCTCGCTCTTCTCAGGGACGACAGCGTAGTGAACGAGCAGTAGCTTAGTAAATGACGTTTTCAAGTGTAAAAATTTAACCTCTGGAATAAATGATTATTTGACTTTGACCTTGACTATAGTTCTGAGTGGCACTGCAACTGCTATGGACAGGCGTATCGCTTACCACCAGGCGCAGATTTCGTCCCGTCACTTGATATCATAAAGAAAAAGACAAACAGGCAGTCATTCATCACCGCCATCATTGCCTAACAGTACAAAAAATACTTGTCAGAAAACAAAGACATACAAACGATACAGAAGTTAATACCACACGCAACCCACTCACAAAGACAAACGAAGATCGTTTAACATATCTCGCCTCATTTGACACCGTTCATCGAAACAATTAAAACAACCGACACGGCTAAAGAAGCTAATCACAAACTATCAATTCACGACAAAAGCCAGGAGACTAGAGCCGTAACACATTGCGATCCATGCTCTCGGAATTAAGTTGTATGCGACAGGCTTTTTAGTAAAAAAAAAGAAAGAATTTTTTTTAATACGCGTACATTTTTTTTAAATCTTGTACTCAGCCACGAATCGAGTCTATTTTATTGTACTAATGGATAGGTCAATGACATCCTAAGACTATCGACTCCAATACGAAATGCATGTAGGAATTAACCACAAAATATGCATATTACAACCTTTTGCAGGCTATAGAGATTTTATTCTGGTCATTGATCCCATCGATTAGTACAATAACATAATGATGTTTATTTTTTGTATTATACGTTGGTTCGACTTCCGGTTCAGGAAAACAGTTTCAAAAAAATCTAAGTTGTCAATAATGTAAATGTTACCTTTAAGTAAAATCATCTACTTTAAGTACTAAAGGTAATTCTTTTTCATGTGCAATTTATTTTTTCCACCCTGTATAATAGGCATCGCGTAATAACCAGAAATAGAGACGAAATGTCATTTAATTTGTTTGAGAACCATTCTCACAAATCATTACGATGGCAACAGCGCTCCGATTGATTGATTCGAAACAATTGAAGGGTGTCATCAATTGTTTAACTTTAAATCGATCCGTTGAACTTGAGATTTGCTATAATGGACGAGAATTTAAAAAGTACATATTTAATTATCGATGAAATGTGATTCAGTTTGTTTTGCCGTTTTTCCCACACCACCGAATGGAATAGCCCCCCATTGTTAGAGATATTATCTTTATTACAATAAATACATAATATTTTTGGAATATACGGAGACGTACACACGCGTAAGTTGTTGGCGCTGTACTATTTCAGCTTTCTAATTTGTGATTTCAGCGCAAACCAGAGTTCATATTTAACAGTGATATAAGGCCCATTTGCCTGATGAGTTGCCACGTTTGGATGGCACTTATTTCGCCTCTATTTCTGGTTATATACTCGATGATAATAGGTTACAACATGATAACAATGTTTATATGTACAACTGACCACACATACCAGAACGTTTAATTTGAAAAAAGAATTGCATCAATCGTCTTTTCATTTTAATTAAACGTCTGGTGTAAGTGGGCCTAGTGGTTCATATTATAAACGTTGTTGTTGTAGTTCAATTTAAATCGCGCATATTTGTTTTTTGAAACAAACCAGAAGGTTTGTTTGAAAAAACAAATATAAACGGTTTAAATCCGGAAAAATAGTTTCATTTCCTAAATATGTTCATGTTTGTAAATTTTTTTATAGTATCAAGTGACAGGACTAACAAGTCGCGTGCCTAATGGTAAGCTACACGCCTGTCCACAACAGTTGCAGTGCCACTCAGAGCTTTATATCGCAAAGATCTGAGGGATACTGCCACTACGCCCGTCACCCTGAAACATAAGTTGACAATTCCCATGTGCCTGTAATTTCACCAGCACCCTTTACACTTCAAAACGGAAACGGAACGCAGTAATGCTCATATTACTGCTTGGCGGCAGAAGTAGGTAAATAAATAAAAGTAAAACTAAATAAGTAGAGTAAAAAAATAAAAGTATTAAGTTTTATATTTTTTTATAAATTTCAAACATTTTGTTTTTTTGTTTTAATAATAATATATGCTGGTTCTAATCTACTCGTATCCTCGTAATTAGTAACGGTAAAATTCATGCAGATACACATAAAAAAATCATGTAAATAGTTCAAAATTCTCCACACCCCCTTTGGCTTTTTGACGTAGTTAGGTAAATAAGTTGGTTCGATCGCCAGTCCCTACGATTGTGCGAACGTTAATAGAATTAATATCCTCCTTCGGGTTCGTTCTCCCAGAAACAAAAACACAATGGAAGATAGGTGGCCCCTAATTGACTGTGACCGAACCTTTGTTGTGACCAATGTTTTCTCTGTGGGTTTAGGGGGTCATTTACAAATGCCGGACGTAGACATGTCTCACTCCGCTGGTTTGATAATTACAACGAAGGCGATGATCGCGCAAGATTTTTTTAATGAAAAGGGAATATTAAAATTACCCGAAAGATGGCAATAGATTTAGTAGATCAACATGGTTAATAAACACATTGCTAAAAGTTTGAGTTTTTTAAATGTTTTTCGTTCATACTTTGATACCGTAGGGAGTTTTGATTCAATCCAATATGTGCTTATTTGTAAAATAATAACCTCTCAGGACTATATTACTAAGAACATAAGCAACAGCTTTTGTTCCATTTACAATATAAAATAATAAATTTACCAAAAATAAACTTTTAAAGTTTTTGTTGTTTTTAATCTATATTTGGTATTAAGGTAGTAAGTTCAAACGTGCAATCGTTCTCCCCGACGATCCCCACTCCCGTTCCTGCGTTTTGCATCGGATTGAAATGTTCGCTAGCAATTTCTAGTCGAAGTCAAAGTCAAATCATCTTTATTTCATAAGTAAGCAAATTACACTTGAAATCGTTATATTAATTAAACTGTACTGCTCATTCGTAAGGCAGGGTTCCCTTAGAAGAATGAACAAGAAACTCTAGGGGTTGCTCTTTTAAATATACATTTGAAAACATCTAACATTTACATTTTTTATTTCAAATATCTTAGAATGAGACTACCTGTAAGAGCTAAACGGGCCACTACCACGGAGTCTTGTTATCTAAGTACTTCTGCAGAAGCTGTATTCATGTATATGTATCGACTCATCGGTAGAACAAAGACCTATGTGCAAGACTGCTTATTCTCAGAACGAACGAAATGTCATATAAAAATTCTGAAAATACCTTAGATTGGCCTTAGTCTGAATAATCAGAATAAGTATTTATCCTCTTTTCGTTGTATAATCACATCGGACTGTGTTCTTCGGATGAGTCGGTATGTACGTTTAGTATAAAGTTTTTGTTTCACTATAGTTTTAAACCTCGTAAGTGGAAAATTTTAAATATCAACCGGAATCTTATTATGAAGACGATTGTCAAGAATATGCAGTACTTGTATTACATTGTACCAAAGGAAATATTAGGACTGTAATCTTCATAAATGTCACCCTAATAGCGATTACGTTACTGAGTTGAGGACGCGGAGTAATCGTGTGAATATTTGTATTTTTTTAATGACGGGGTGAACAGAGTCTAGAGATGCACGCCTTGTGGTCTAATTCGGAATATTTATATAGACGACAATTCTTCTAAAATAAATGGATAGTGATGGTTTATTGTGTCAATGTAGTACCTACCGCTGTGGAAACTTTTCTCTAGTTTACAGGCCATGGCGCTACATTACATTAGTGTACGCGATGGTTATGTTTGTGTTTCGAGAAATAATTCGCAGGTCATCATTATTGAAATTAAATGGCTTGAGGAAGTTCTTGCCGAGAGTGATCAGATCAACTTGAAGCAGCTTCGTCGCTCTCTCGTCGATCTGGATCGCGCTCTCTTAAACTTGAATCGCCAAAAATTCCGATGTGAATCTGGTTGAAAGGACCTTGTTTAAATCCAACGCTTGGTATAGGTCAACTTCCAATGCTTGCCAAACCTTGCTTTATTTAAGGCAACCCTTTAAGGTAATAACGAAAAACAAAATAGTGTTCTGGAAGCTAATTGGATAGAGGGGTCTCACCAATTTCTCTAAGGGAAGCTAGCTGCTGCCAGCACGTGATGAGGCTGCAGGAACCCGATACGCCGTGGCACTTGCAGGTTACACGTGATTTCTTTATCACTGCCTGTTGACAATATTGGCTATTATCGTTTACATATCACTGATAATGCTGTAGCGTATAATTACACAGTTTTGTAGTATAATGTATTGTAATAAAGTTTTCTTTCATTAGCACATCATGTATTAAGGGCGGTAAATAAGGAATTACGAACGAGATTCTATTAGAAGCCCGAAGTTAAAGACTGAGATCTTTCGGAGTCGAGGTTCGTAACTCCCGTACCGTAACATACAATGTTTTTAATCACACTTGCACGTAAATAGTGTGATTTCATGCAGGCCAACTTGCTATGTTTCAAATAAAACCCTCGGGCGTGTTTTCTTCACATTACAGCCATGGTCATGTAATATATTAATTACGTGAAAGTGTGATGAAAAGTGTGACGTCACTAATAGTATAATGATATTAGCGAGAGCTGGCAATTGCATAATGTAGTTGCGTTTGTGTGTTTACAGAAGAATTTGTGATTGTTTTGTGGTTTTTTATGAGAACGGCATACGACTACATAAGTGTACAATATGCAATGAAACTATTTCATTGCATCAACTACACGGTAGTTACTTAGAATTAAGTAGAATAATTGCAATTCCGAGCTCTCGCTAATATCACACTATCGACGATTATTTATAGTTTCCCTATGTTAATGTTAAATCCTACTGCTGGGCACGAGCGATGGTCTCTACATGAACAGGATTGCTTGACTACTGTTACGACATAAGAGTCTTCGAGTGTGTCGGGCACGCAAGGATGCATACACCTTCGCCCTAATCTAAAGTACCGGCACGCTATGATGGCCGTTTTGACGTTCGTCCGCTCATCAAGTTTCGTATTAATTGATAACTACGTTGAAGGAGTTAATTGATGTGCATTGTTGTCAATAGTGACATGCGGTAAAATTTATGGAATATATAATTTTACGACACAACTCGGTATTTCTCAAAAGTCAATTGTTTTTAAATGAAAACTGATACGATCCTCACTTATAGGATCGCTGGCCACGTTTTTATTTTCGTTATATTAACACTTTTTACTCAGCTACCCCTCGAAAAACTAGTTATAAATCTAAAACTTACAGTTATACAGTTAATTATATTTTTTTCGATAATGAATTGAGATTTCACCTCACTATTGTAATCTGTCAAAACGGCCATCATAGCGTGCCGGTACTTTGTTGACTACACTAGTGTTACTTACCCGACGACCTGCTTCGTTATTGTGTCTGTTCATCAGCTGTCTGCCCTGTTCCTGACTGCCTCGCTTTACTTTACGCTCTCGCTCCCGGATATCGATGAACCCTTCAGTGAATCTGTCGGAAAAGATAGTTTTGACAGATTTTTAAAGATTTTGCTAATGAAATTAGTCGGTAACGTCTTTATGCTTATATAGGAGAGTCATAAAATTTGACATAATATGTCAAAATATTATTTATGTATATTATACATAATTTGTTTCATATAATTTGTTTTATTTTATGACTCATGTGATATAAGCACTCGCGTATGATTACATCTGGCTTTACCCAAAATTACGAATTATAATTTCATCATGTTTCCTACTCCCCCATTTGTCTGTCTGTGTCACAGCTCTTTTATAGACTTGATTCGGACAAATAGCGATAGAGTTAACATGTGACTTAGATATTTAAGCTATGAACAAATACGACGTGTTGCGCTGCCTCCCAAAAATACAATTTATGAAAAAAAAAAGAAAAATGTGTTTATTTGGTACCATTTTCTTACGAGAAATATATATCGACGGAAAGGTAAATACGTCTAACGTGCATCTGGAAAATATTACATGAGAGCGATTTAAAGTAAATTTTTTAAGAAAAAACAAACATGACTCTAATTTTATTTGTTACATAGAAAACAACAAAGTTTCCACTTTTCCATATATCAAATAAAATTAGAGTCATTTTTTTTTTTATATTATTATAGATCGCTCTCCTGTAATATTTTCCCAATACACGTTCCAGGGTCGCCATAATCAAAATCTTAATAAGTAAAATAGTTATTTTTGATTCATTCATTCATTTTATTTAAGAGCCATGCTCTTGTTGGTGTAGCCTCCTCCACTCCTCACGGTCCATAGCCAACTCCTTGACCTCCCTGTAACTGCTCACATTAACCTTTCTTTTTATTTGGTCACAGAATGCCATTCTCGGTATTCCTCTCTGTCTCCTTCCTTCCATCTTTCCCTCAACAACAACCGTCAATAGTTCGTCGTTGCGCAACAAATGTCCAAACATTTTTCCCCTCCTATTCTCTATCGTCTCCGTCAGGCTTCTCCGTTCCCCAATCCTCTCCAGAACGTCCTCATTTGTCACTCTCTCGGTCCAGCTTATCCACTCCATACGTCTCCAGCACCACATTTCAAATGCCTCCAATCGCTCTCTGTCTCTCTTTGTGATGGTGCAGGTCTCACATCCATATTTTTGATACAAGTGCGGAAAGTTAGTCATTATTCACGAGTCTCGCGGCTTCGGGTCTCGAAAGTTCTCGAGGCAGGACTCGAGACAAGTGAAAATGACAAATCCACACGTGTATCAAAAGCCGCTTTTTAATTCTTCCTTTGCGGAAGTCGCGGATCCGAGACGGACCTATTTCCGGTTCTTATCGACGGCCAATTAACTTCCGCAAGTTAAGAGTGTACTACATTTGCGAAAAAACTAAATTGAAAGTAAAATAAAACAGTATTTAAAAAAAAACTCATTTTATTTCTTTGTCTGTTATAAATTCAGAGTACAATGGCAACTGTTGCCAGTATTCAGCCACATTAAAATTTATAATTTTAGTGGCGCGGCGCGCAGCGGTCTCACGTAATACTCACCTCCGGTCATTGTTAATAGGTACTCAACTAGCCATTTTTATGGAAAATATTTTAGTATTTTTAAATGTAACTCGTTGTGTTATAAAACACCTATGCAATCTAAACAAATAAGATGTTTGTAAGTAAATATGTATAAGTTTTAATGACGAATGACTTACGTCACAAAGCACATAAATATTAAATAAATATACAACATCTTTAGTTCTATGTTTAAGACTTGAAACAACAGTAAATTAAAAAAAATGGAAAAGTAAAAAGCACTAGTACGAAAAATCCAACTTTCGGCACGATTTATAGTACGAAAAATACCACGTTTTGAACAACAGTAATAAATAGTATAACAATAAAAAATATTTTTTTATTATCTCTACCACTTGCGAGGTTGTGCATGCAAAACAACTCAACCCTGGTATTCTGTGTTTATTTATTTATAGTATTGCATCTTTTCAATGAAAGTACATCAATAATAATTTGTTCTTTAATTTTATCAACGTTTTAAAGCCATAGAGTTAGAATGCATTGCAATAGTTCTTACAGGAGTATACAACAAAATTCTGAACATTCATGTATGTAGAGGTTTACGTGACTTCACAAGATTTCTTTGTGTGCGGGCTTCAGCTACCTCCTTGTTTATCAACTAAGCGCCTGGTACTGGGAAAACTTCCTCCAAATGTGCGAAAGAGACAGAATTATCATGTTATAGAAAGAGACATCTAGCTGTCTACAGCTACGCCGACCGCTACGAGGGGGACTACGATCGATTCGTAGCTGACCCCGGTATGGTAAATCAAATTTTATTTCGTTACGGGAAAGGTTGATAATTGCATGTCCGTATTTTGGAAGTAAGAATGGGGTTTTCGTGGAGGGATAATGTTACTGTGTAGTACGGAAAACGTTTGCAGTTAAAACTGTATTTTAGAAATTCTTTCGGATTGTACAAACGTGCAGTTTTGTAATGAAATGTATTTTCGCATTAGCAGTGCCAGGTGTCATCATAAACTGTTCTTACTCATTATCACTACTCTACTGCGCTATTTAAATGGTATTAATTAAAAATAATAATACGAACAAGTTTATTCTAGCTAATTTATTGTATATGATTTGATGGTGAACATTTAGAACATCAGATTTTCATACGTTTTCAGAGGGCTCCGTATAGTGGAAATTGTCCATATGATTGGTGAAATCACTCACTTGTAATGTAGTTTACTTAAAATCTTGTATATGAATAACAATTGGTTAAAGTACGGGCATAAATATACGGTTGAATTAATTATTTCCACTTTATTAAATTTAATATATAAAATTATGTTGTTAATTACAAAATATCATTAATTAGTCTCGGTGATAATTAACTTATAAAACCCAATTTTAAATACAGACACAGTATTTCTATAAAGACGCCAGCGTTTTACCGTTCTACGGACAAGAATGTTTGGGAAAAACCGGATGGAAAATGCGGATTAAGTAACCCCTTCTTGTCTATGTTACCTTGGTAGTTGGTAACGGATTTAAGCATTCTTAACGTGTTAAACCCGGGTTATCCGGGCAGATATAACTTACCCAGGTCGGTTAAGACGGTTATTTATTCTGTATTTTGTGGGTTTTACCTGGTTTTGTTAACGTTATAATTTGGAATCAAAGGAAACATACCTTTTTGACTTTGGCTTGATTATTTTTTCATATTTTTGTTTAAATCATATTTTTATTATTTTTCTAATAATCACAAGCCCAGACGAATTAATGGATTCAAACGACTACGTAAGAGTGACCCAAATTACAGTAATTGATAAATTTGAATTACTTAATTTTATCCTTATTGGTTTTATAATCACCTCGTAAAAAACATTGAATTTTTTCAGCCCCGTAAATTTCCTGAAAATTATGCCTGCAAAATTCCGATCGCCTTTGGGATTCCACAAAATCTCTGCGACGACATGTTCGCCTGGTAGGAAAAATGCTCGAATGCGGGAAAATCTCCTCTATGAAGCCGAGAAGGAGCACTCTCTCCTACAAACCTCTCGCCATACCAGTCATTCCAGACATTCCCGAACTTCACTAAATCCTGTTGCCCCGGTGGAGAAAATTCAAACAGACAAATCGGAAAAGCTTTTTTAAAGTATTCCTTATAAAATACTTAAAAAGCTCCACCTTAAAAAGCTCTACACATGCGCGTTGTAAGCTCCGCCCCTATTGTGTCACATTCACACAAACGAAGCATTAGTTTTTTTTATTTCATTTCACTGAATCTTTTTCAAACCTGCGCGTTGGTTATGAGTTCCTAGTTACTAAGGCATGGATTTTTACAAAGCCCCATCTTAGAAATTCGTTCTTCTTTGAAACCCTTGATTTTACTGTCTTTACTTTCATAATCTCCTAACGAATACAGCCAAGGAAACACTGTCCATGAAAATCAGTAGCCAGCTCTTGCGGCTTCTGAATTCCTGGTAGAGCAGCGTCAAAAGTGTGACGTTTCAATGTTGAAAAAATGTCTCCGCTATTTTCACTACGGCGCCACCGCAGCCACCGCCGCTGTTGCGTATACATGTACTGTTCTTACGTCTGTAGAACATGTGAATTGTACAGTAGAACATGTTGGAATTGTTGATATACCACACAAAGTCTCATACATACATGTGCTTCAACAGCGCCGATGAGAATGGTACCTTTGTTGTACGTTTTTCCCGTTTGATCGCTCTGTCGTCGACACACGTAGATGCGTTTCACAGAAATCGTCAAACGCTCCTCATTCTTTTGCTCTCCTGGTACAATCGCCTCAAAATATGCAGAAAATTCCATGTTTTTGTGAAAATATGTCTAAAAGAAATAATGGAAATTGCTTTTCATTTGTTTTTCGTTTGTTTTTGTTGAGTGCAATTTTGCGATTTGGCGATTCACAAGTATTGTACATCCGACATATGTTTTGAAAAGTTATAATCTCCTGGTAAAGATTGTAGAGCCTGGAAAAAAAAACAGTTCGTTTGACTATAGTTGACCTATAAACAAGATTTATTTATTAAGTTAGATTTTATGTTTATTGTATTGAAAAAAAAAATTGTTTAGGTTGTTATATTTATTTAATTAAATAAAAAAAGTAATATCCGTTTAATCTTTTCCGAAGCTAAGTAAATTTTATGAAAAAAGTTTCGCTTCTAGTTTCACCAACTGAAAGTTTACTTCAATTTAAGTTTTTAACAAAGGCAGCTGAAAATAATAATAACCCGTTAGTTTCAGACTTCAGGCTTAACCCTTTCAGTACGTGAAAGTTGTCTAGGATAGCACGATCGCCGAGGAGGTTGTTTACGGGCTACGGTGCTATAAACAAGTCTAGGAGATTCCACAACGTACATATTTTGAACCTTATCTCTTCTACGTAAAGAAAGGATTTAAATACTCTAGTCACATGCTACGTGCTACGAAGCCTACGCAAAAATGTAATGGTTATGCAATTTGCAACTGTATTCCGTACGATTTAAGTTTTAAATTACTAAATCGCAAATTTTGCTACCGAATTTAGAAAAAATAACCTTTCGTACTTAAAACTGTGACCTTATTTTCCTAAACAAATATTTAAATTTTGATTCAATAATTTATTTGATGTAATATCCATAGTAAAATACTAAAATCATGGTTTCAGGACTTTCGAATTTCTCGCCCTATCCTCACCACACACACAATCACAGAAGGTAATTCCTGCTTGTTACTACCTCAGCACAAATTTCCTTTTGAACACACACAATTATAGCACTTAGCTTGTATTCACACACGAGACCGGACACACACACAGACATTTGGAGTTTCGCCCTTCGAACATGAAGATTATTAGTGTGCGTGAGCTGAAATTGCTCTACTAATAAAATTGTCTATGTAGTTGTGGAAATGGGTGAGCGTGTTTTAGGGCCTTGTTGTCTCCTGGTTGCCTAGTACTCGACCTGTCTTCAGCCATGGTTTGACACCCGTGAAACGCTTCTGACAGCTGATTAATGAGCTCCGATGACAGCCTCATTTTGAAATTTCACGATTTTCGCTTATTTAGGGATGCTTAAGGTATTTTTAAACAGGATTTGATCTTTCACGTCTGCTTATTTTAGAAACAATTCAAGATTGTCTGGTGCTTGTGCTGTTTGACACATTTACGGATTAAATTACATTTAAATAAGTATATACTTAATTTAATATTAATATTTTAGGTATGTAAATCAAAGAGTTAATGTGTTATTAAATTTGCGAAAAAACTTGTTTTTAGATATTTTTTTAAACAAGGCATGTATTATTTTTCCCTTAATTAGGCAGGTATGTATTTAATTAGAGTAGCTAGGTAAGAAATACTAGTAAGTAAGCTACAAAAAATTGTTCCTTTAAGTTCCTATTGGTATATATTAAAATCAAAACATCACAATAAAATATTTTAGATGGGATAGATTGTTTTCTCCTTTTAGTAAGAGCAGGTGAGTGCAAAGGTCATGGGGACATTTTCAGTTAAACTCGACAGACCTGAAGAGAGCAGGTAAATTTTTCACCTGTCTTACCTCTCACCTGGATACCAGGACATAAGGAAGATGAAAGAGACATAATACCTTTCACGTGAATCTGAAAATCGCAGGTAACCGCACACATGCCATAGTACCTTTGCCATAAATGAATTTTCAGTCACACTACAATTCAACCAATAGAATACCGCGAAAAAGAGAAGTATAGATCTATCTCTCTTCAGTGTAGCGGGGAAACTCACGAAAACCACCCCTCGTTGTGCACACATGGAAAATGTTTCTTACTTACAAGCGAGTGTGATAGAAAGAAAGCTCGATATAAGGCGGTCTTTATCTAACTCACTCAGAACGGAGGACGGAAAACAGCGAAGTTATAAAATATTGTTTGGGAAGGTAAGGGATTTTAATGAAATGCCGCTACGTTATCCTATGTGGGTGTTTCAGGTGAACATTTCGCACACACACATAGGTATGATTTTCAGGTGAATTCTACCTTCACCGAATTGTTGGTATCCTAGTAAAGGTACGAGGTGAAACAGGTGAGCGTCGTTTTCAGGTGAAACTCACAGACAGAAAGGTGCAAATAAATTATTTGATTTATTGCAATATACATTGGATTCATTGAAAATATAATTTGTACAAGTTAAACAAAACGTTTTAAAAAATTAAACGTTTGACATTAAACGTGAAATTAGATGAAGTGTGAAAAATAAATCAAAAAGAAATTTGTAATTATTTTTAATTATAAAATATCTATCTATCTATAATTTCAACATAAAACTTTATTGAATTTTTCAAGGAAGCAACGCACAATAACTGCGGGGAAAATTTTCGATAAAGTGGGGGAAAAGTACCAGGACTGTATAGCACGGTAGGAAGTCAGAGAAAAACGCTCGCCGCGCCGCGCCTCCGCCCGGGCGGGTATTTAAATAAAATAATAATCTCTCCCCAGGATCGCAGAAGCTCGAGGGTGTGTTTTATACGAAATTGTACTACTAGGTACAACAGGGATAGTTCATAGTTGTAGTAGGAATTTAGTACATTCCACGCGGAGAGTAGAAGATATCAGGTGTATTTTTTATTCAATTAGGTTTAGGGAGGTCTCACAGTCATGCTTCTTTCATGTTCAATGTACAAAATGATATAAGTAGTACGTGTGTTAAGATTGTGCCGTGCTATTGAAAGTTCATTACATAGAAATCAGAGTTTCAGCATGATGTACTGTTTCCTTCCTGTACGTCTGGCGTACCCTGGGCAGCAATCGGTGGTTACCTTACGCCGATTGGTAGATCCTTTCATTAAAAGAAGATTTAAAATCGTTATTTGGTTAATACGATTTCAACTTTGATCTAAACTTTATGCCAAGGGCGTATAGACCATATTTGTATTTCATTGCTCCGGGTGTTACTTGTAGAGTCACCGAAGCTAATTTTCTTTATCTACACACAGATCGTAAACCCTCTAGGATGTGTTCAAAAACCGCAAATTACGACCAGCATAAAGATAACTATTTTGTTACAACAAATTTCTCATCCGTGAAAATGTTATTATTGCATAATAACAACATCGGATTCGATTTTATTACTACATTCAAATTTCGAACATCTTTGAAAAACAAAACCATTTGATTCGACCTCAATTCGAAATAATATGAGTCGCTATGAAGTTTTATTCGAAATAAAATGTCAATAGCAAACAATTTAGGCAAATCTCGTTACTTGATATCGGACGATATGATAGTTGAGGCCGACACTAGTATGTCCATGAATTAAAAAAAAACTACGGTTGTGTGACATGCGTGAGAAATAAGTTTTTTGCATTATTTTACTATTAATTACTGCTAATAGCTCTGATCAATGCCGGTATGTCTTAAAGAGCTTATAATATGTGTATAGATACCTTTGACGAGGCGTGAAAATTTTCGTTAGTAAAACCGGTTCAAAAAATCACGTACCGTAACAAAAACTTATTTTTTTCGTAAACGGCGTGCATAGTATAATAATTCAACTGGACTAAAGCGGCCATTTACAAACAAATAACACAGAAAAAGCAAAAAAAATGTACCTGTTAAAAAAATCTTCTAAAGACGTCTCGACGAAGCCTAAAATAACACTTATTAACAGACAAACCACTAGTAAAGTTAAATTCACTAGTTTCATAACGCTAAATATAAATTTTATTACTTTATTACATTATTTTAACAATTGATTACTTGTAAACAAACTTTCATATCATATCAACATTTATTTATTAAACTCGTCATATACAAAACTGTAGTTCTTTTTTAAGATAATAACAGTCATTGAGATCTATAGTCAAACAAAATTTGGCATAATCAACATTAAAAAAAAAATATACATATATATGACCGGTGTTAAACACCTGGAGGGGTAATGGCAGTCGCCATGTTTGTAATACCGGTCAAATTATTGTACTTAGGCATAAATCACATATGTAGCCATCAGCAGCTCTGCCTGACTCTAGTCATATCCTTAGCATTCAGCGTGAGCCCAAAGACGACATAGCACACACCTAAATCAAAGCTCATAGTAGATAATACACTTGTTCTCAAAGTCCCCTTCAACATCAGTATCATCATCTTCACGCAGTTCTGCCATATCAATATCGGAGTTAGATGGTATCATTAATATATTTGTCTTGTAATACTCTCTTCTTTACCTTTCTTAGTTTGGGCGGACATTTTCTTTTCCTTTTTTTCTCATTTTTAATTTAACTTCCAGATTCTTTTTTATTTTCTTTTGCAGCTCTTTTATTTTCTTTCTGAATAACAGCTTCATTAATTGGGGTTCCTGTTATTACCGTTGAGTGCTATTTCCGAGATACGACTGTTTTCTTATCTATTACTTATTTAGTCTTATCTAGCTGTGGTCCATCACTATTCTTGTTTTTCAGTCTTTCTTGGAGGAGTGAAAATGGCACGCCAGTAGTTCGCGCTGCTTCCTTTTTCAACTAGTTGAAAAACTTTAACTAAATAATTTTGGCTTCATTTTATTTTTGAACGTACTTTATTCCGCATTGTCAACATTCTGAATCGATAACAATCAACTAAATACCAAAATATTCTTAAAATCATAATTAGTTACTTATTTATGATGACACCGGTCAACATGACCGGCATTATCTTCTCTCCTGTATTTCCGAATAAATATTTTTTGACCAAAAACCGTTAGCAATATGTTTAAAATCTATGATAACATGAGAAGTCAAATAACTAAGCATCAATTAGTAATTCTAATAATATAAGAAACACTATAATACCAATACTCACCTCTTAAATTTAGATGCTGAAAAATACTAATGATTAGGCGCGAAAACTATAACCATGGTTTCTTCCTAAACGCTGGCTTAGAGCGGGGGTTTATTTTCCTGCGCGGGGGAAGATCGCTCCACTCGCCTTGCCACTCGCGCTGTTTACGCACACGCGTACATAACGCGTGCGCGTAAACAGCCCGAAATGGAAGATATTGTGGTGATCGGCATTATCACCTGACTGCCATTACCCGCTTTTACCCTGAGATCCATCGGGAAACTCCGTATTATCAAGGACAGGTTACTTACTACATGTTTATTAATGAATATTTTGAGTAAAGTTTTTAAGTAGTGGGGTGTGCGCGCTGTCTCGTACAGTGTTTTGATTATACGTGGAAAATTTTAGGCAAGCCAGTGGGAATCGAGTTATATGGACGCCTCGCCACTGATAGATGTAACAGTGTATGGTAACTGAACATATTTAGGCATTAAAACACTCGTGTGATGTTTTTACGAAACTCGCCTGTCAGTTGTTTTGTAAACCCACACTCGTATTTTAATGCTTTTCATTATGCAACAGTCACATAAACTACTATTTTTAATTAATTATTACAGACTGAAATGTTTGAGTGTATTATAATTACCTGTATCCATACTCGAGGTCCACGCCGCAGCCAGCCCACACCCAGTCGGCGTGCAAATTTCGTGGGCGCTGCGTGCGGCTACAACCACAACTGGTTAATCTGCCATCGCGGCATGCGCGTGCGACGTGCAACGACGCGCCAGCAGCTGTTATCGCGTGTGTAAAAGCTGTTTCGCGAGACCCTGAAAAAATAAACATTGAAATTTTGAAATTGAAATAGAGCAAAGCCCGTGAAAATAGCTTTTGCGGCGTTTAAAAAATCGGAATTAAAACTTTTGTTCAAGACAATGTGAATGATTTGTTGTTATCGTGTACCCAAGAAAAATAACCTTATGCACTATAAACATATGTATGTAGGTTATTGTTTTTAAAGCGGTTACACATGGCGTCTTTTCGCAGCGACGCAAACGCAATGCACGTTTTAAATTAATTAATTAATTTATTTATTTAATGTACTTAATAATTTCACTTTCAAATTTGTAAATTTAATTGTAAATAACAAAACAAAATATTGTGCGTAAACCTGTACAGATTTTCCGTACATAATTATTCAACTTATGCGACTGTATCAATGCAGTCGCGCGTTTGCATCGATGCAATCGCCTATAAATCGCAAGTGTAGCAATGCAATCGTGCGTTTGTATAGCTCTAAAAGTAGCTGAGGGTAACCACTCTTATACATAACATTTCATTTAAATTGAAAAATCGCAATTTAAAAGCAAAATAACAGTTTTCCAGCGCACATTTCTCAAATTCAGCGGCAGCGCTAAATCCATGTTAGCGTCTACTCAGTTGATTTATGTCGACACTCGACACTCGAGCTACTGGCATGCTAGTGGAACCCGATATGTTACTTTACTCTTATTCTAGTTTGCAGATAAAATATTTTTCAAGATATTTCAACGCTGTTTAGTTTTAGTGTTGTGTTAGACAAAACTAAAAATTGTTGAAAATGTTCAATCTATATTGTTTTTTAAATTTAAACACATCAACACATGGTCGCCGCTAAATTTGAAAAGCTTGTAACTCCGTTTTGGGATGATATCCTTTTTTTATCTTTGGGGGCGTTATCGGGCAATTAAAACTTAATATAGATCACATTTTTCCTACCGTGTCGCTTGATATTATAAAAAAAATCTAAATAAGGGAAGCATTAAACGACCTTGTTAACAAAGTAGTTACTTACTTAACGAAGATAGTTATCTTCGTTAAGTAAATGTGGCCTTTCAAAAGATGTTTTTCTGCTTAATGTAACTTAATCTAACTGATCTAACAATTTGTCGTATGTACAAGCAAAAAATAATACTAGAAAGATATCCTAACTATTGCGTTTACGATGTTTTTACGATCATTTTTGTGTATTATTTGCGTATGGTGACCAGAAATCGGGGAAAAATAAGGATTTAGTATTCCGAGTGGAAGCATATACATTAATAATTCGATCAACGACCTTGTGGTCCAGTAGCTTGCATATCGATTTTCATGGTGTCGCCGTGTCTGAGGACCCGGGTGCGATTCCCGGCCGAGTCAATGTAGAAAAACTAACTATTCTGTATTGTCTCGGGTCTGGAAGTTTGTGGTACCGTCGTTATTTCCGATTTCCATAATACAAGTGCTTTGGTTACTTACTTTGCTATCGGAGCAACGTATATGATGTTGTCTAATTTTACTATTTATGATTTCATTCATATTACAATATGAGCCAGTAATAATTTAAAAGGTACTTTTGAATTATTTGTAAAAACAAGCTTACACTAAATTGACATTGTGTTTTAACATTTATATTACGAACGTGATGTCACAGGCCTTATTCAGAGAGGCGGCGGGTACGGGTGCGTCTAAAAACAAGGTCTAAATGAAATGTACGTAGACGCTCGTTGCGTTCATAGTGAAGTTCATAGAGGCGGGAATGGGCGCGATCTATTGGCTCAGTCCACCGGTACCATTTACAGTGCTTGGTCTAGCGTCAGTTTGCAACTTCGACCTGTGGATCTAACGGTTTTAGTCGCTTCGGCACTGTGAAAGGGAAGACGCCAAGACCCGCGCGCCCGCACCCGCCGCCGCGCCTCTATGAGCCCATACGAACGTGGGACCAACTGTAACCACATATTTATATGCTTTCAGGAAGCATATAAATAAGAGAACAAAGTAATAAAGAAAAGGGTTAAGAATATGTTAAAATAAAATAGCATAGTATAGCAAACTATAATAATAGCAGTAGAGCTACTTGTAAGAGTTTGTTGAAGGAAGCACTGCCACCTTACTTATTTTTGCCGCCAGGCAGTAATGTGAGCATTACTGCGTTCCGGTTAGAAGGGTGAAATTACAGGCACATGGAGCTTGTCAACTTATGTCTCACGGTGACAGGCGCAGTGGTAGTGCCCCTCAGATCTTTGTAATTTAATCACTAAGTGGTGCTGTAACTGTTATGGACAGGCGTGTCACTCACCACCAGGTGCGCCACTTGTTCGTCTCGTCACTTGGGCTCATAAAAAAGCATGAATTAAGACGATAATTGAGACATGATGGAGACCAATATTCCATTGTGACACGAACTGAAATACTTATATTTATAACGCTTTCATTCATAGTCCCGCAGTACAGAAACCCTGTATCGCAAGTGCCGTGGATATACACATAGACAACCACTAATTACACTCAACTCATGAGATAAATAAATGATTCTAATAATAATTAAAAATTTAGTACCCACGGGTAGATACGAGTACCTATGTGATACAGCAGACGGTAAGAAAAAAAAGCAGACGTTAGGAGTTAAGAAAGTTGCACGTTTTAATATTTAGTTTAATAAATCGAACTGTTGGTGTATAAGGCCATATATGCACAAACAAACAATTTACGTCTATGTGAAATTTTATAACTCCCCCTATTTAACCATACTTCCCTAATAATAACCAACTTCTCTCTTGAAAACTTGCAATTTTGCAGGTGTGGCCCTATACAATTAGAGTGAGAATTTGTCTGTATAGTTAAGATTTTTGTAATTAATTCGCTCAACAAATTTTTAAAGATACTATTTTTGTTTTTTTTAATAATATCAGGTGATAGGACAAAGTCGGGTGCCTGATGGTAAGCTACACGCCTGTCCATTACAGTAGCAGTGCCACTCAGATCTTTAAATCGCAAAGATCTGACGGGCACTGACACTGCGCCCCTCACCCTGAAACATAAGATGACAAGTCCCACGTGCCTGTAATTTCACCAGCAACTTTACCCTTCATAACCGGAACACAGTAATCTGCTGACATTACTGCTTGGCGGCAGAAATAAGTAAGGTGGCAGTACTCCACTGGACGAACTCTTTCACAAGGTGCTCTACTGTGACTATTGCTAAACTGCCTCCGTGGCCGAATGGTTACCATACCGGACTGCCACGCAGAGGTCCCAGGTTCGATTCCTGGGCCGGGAGAAATATTTGTATGGCCTACATTTATTTCTCTCGTGAGTTTGGGTGTAACTTGTGGTTGTCTATGTGTGTGTCCATGGCAGCCGCGACACACGGTTTCCTAAGTGCGGCGCTATGTTGAGTGTGTGCGTTAATATTAATAATATATTGTTGTATATCGTCGTTAATGATTATCGAAATGAAATATCCTAAAATTCGTTGTAAGTGTAGGTCCTCCCATTTTATATGACGCTATTCTAGCAGTGAATTCATTGCTTTGTCTCGGGACTGTTGAACTATTGTTTTTGTATCCTTGAGATGTGTCGTATCATCGTAAACATGCTACTCATGCGTTTATCGGGAATTAAATCTGCTGAAGGAAAGGATTTGGAAAGAGCTATATTGGCATGACAATAACATAGTAATATAGAAGCTGACGAGTTATTTCTGAATCCTGAAATGGTGAAACTAGTCGTTCTTTATAAAAGTACAAACGCGGCGGTTCATATTTCGGCCCCTTTGGTGTAAAAGGCCACATCTGAAAAATGACGACTTTTCAATAACTGTTTTACGTTTAAATAGGAGAATTATAAAATTTCACATATTCATCATTCATCATTCATTCATCATTTTATACAATTTGTGTCATCACGTAATATATGATTAGAAAAGTTTATATTTCTACGATCGATATTCGTCGAAAAATTTTTAATCCTTTAAGTTTTTAATCCATAGAGTTTCGAATTTTTTACTTAGACCTAATTTGTTTCATGTAGTTCAAATTTTTAACTGACTTCAAAAAAAGGAGGAGGTTATTGTATTTTTTTTTGTGTGTTACTTTGTTTATTGGAAAAAGGGTACCTCGGTATTGGTCCCAAAATATTCCAGTTCAAAGGGTGGCAAACTTGGGGATGATTCCGATTTCAATAAAACTTGGCAATTAGATGTAATTCCACGAACTATAGTGAGGTCGGTTTTTCAAATTATAATTATTATGACTTTCATGTAATAAAAGCACTTTTGAAGTATGATCATATGTTTGTTATACCATCATGGGTACGATTTGACGACCTCGGTGGTCCAACGGTTCGCACTGTGAAGTCCTGGGTTCGATTCTTGGTAGGACCAATCCTGGAATCTAGCTTTATGTCATATGCGCGACTGACATAAAGCGCGATACAATAAATAAATAAAAAATAAAAATCATTTAATTAAATTTTTATTGAATTGATATGCAATTATTTTTTGTGAAATTACTCCACTAGTTTATTATAATTATTAATACAAAGATCGAACACTCAGAAAAAACACTCAGAAAAAATTCCTTCGATCCGGTCGGATTATGTATTGTCCGGGTGTATTAATAATTATAACAAAAATCATTTATTTCGGGCGACAATGACCCATATCAAAGTTAATTACATTGAAATTGAATTAATAATTAATACCTACCAGTTAAGAATTAAAATAATATAATTAAAATTAAAAAGACTGTAAAAGGTTATAAAAATTAAATAAAATTGGAATAAAATTAAATAAAAGCCAAAATTCTAATTAAAATTACACGTACTACATAGTCTATTAATGTCTAAATCGATTGCCTCCATAACCGGCACCACAGCGGGCATTTTTATCGCAACAATGTCGAATATAGGGGCAATCTAACCTGCCAGCTATCATAGCCGGGACGACATTGGGGCTGGCCCGCACTCTACACACCAGTGATGCACACCTTTTGCGCATCGTTGTGTAGAAACAATCAGTGCATGCCACCGC